TGGTACAAGTTCTGTTGGAGCTACCAGTGGAGCTGGTGGCAGCGCTGGTGGAGCTGGTACTGGTGCAGCTGGTGCTGCCATCACTGCTGGTGGTGGCTCAGCCCGCAGGCAGCTGCCCGTGCCCTGCCTGTCCTTGGGGTTGGCTCCTCTGTTGGCAGCCGGCACCCGGCAGCGCCCACTAAGTCTGCCTGGCACCGCTCCCCAGGGATGGACGAGGGGAGGCGGTTCAGTGCCCACCCCCGCCGGGCCATGAGGAGGATCTGGCAGTGGCTGTGCAGGAGGGGCAGGAGCAGGGTGCCAGGGGAGGGTCCCGTGTCCTCCAGGAGCAGCGGTGGCCACGACTTGCTGCCGGAGGCACGGGACGAGCTGCACACTGCAGCCACCATCGGCAACTGGGCCCCAGCGCGGCCGCTGGTGGAGGAGCGCGACACCGACCGCCGGGACAAGTCCGACAGGTAACGGGGCGCAGGCAGGCGGGCGCTGGCTGGGAAGCTCCGGGGCTTTTTCCTCCCCTGGGGCTCAGCTTTGTGCCTGGGGGTGTTCGTCCTCGAGGGAGGTCAACACGGAAAGGGCGGGCAACAACGGGCCCTTCTCCTTGCCACGAGCTGTGCCCACGACTGGCTCTGCTCTTTGTCTCTCCAGGCGCAGGCGCAGCGCGCGGCCCGTGGACGCCAGAGGGCGGGAAAAGAAGGGAGAAGCTGCTCCAGGCCAAGCCAAAGGGGTGTCAGAACCCAGCACTCCCCGTGGGGCAGCAGCGAGGCGGCGTGCACGCGCCCTGCCGAGAGCAGGTAGGACTCTCCGGGGTGGAGGAGGGATGGGCAGAAGGCCTGTCGCCTGCCCTTCTGGCGGCTTGCCGTGGAGACGGGCCGTTTGGAAATGATGATGTGGTGTGGCTGGGGATCCAGGAAAACATGCGCTGCCAGGCCTTGTCCCTGCAAAGCAGAACTCTCGAGACGCTCGTTCCTCCGGGGCTCATTGCTGATCACTTTGAGCCATCCCGTCATCCCCCTGGCACAGGGAAAAGAGACGTGTCTGGAATCTGCATTTTGACAGGTCCCCCTGGGTTTGGGGTGTGTGGCTG